TTAGACAAATGTGCAACTCTAGAGGGGGGGTGAATAGAGTTGTTTACAAGAATGTACGTTTTTCGCGTGTGTGAAATAATAGAATCGCAGGAATAAAATAAAGAGAGTAAGGGAAAGAAGAACACCGAGATTTATACTGGTTCACCACCTCGTGGCTAATCCAGTCTTCCGAGAGACTCTCTCGAAAGTCCTACTAATCTTCAAGCTTCAACGGGTGCTTGAAAAACCGGTACAACTTGAGAACTTGAATCACACAAGCCTCACTTTCAAACACTACTTGCTTAATTGTGTGAGCTTTCATTCTTGTGTTGTGAACTCAATCTCTTTTGAGTGTTGTTCTTAAGACTTGTGTGACTCAAGTCTTGTGAACTCAATTTTACTGAGTCAGTTTCAAAATAAGTGTGTCAAAACTTCCAAAAAAAATTTTTTTTGATTACACAATTTTTACTTGGTAAGAAAAATTTACTTTAAATATTTTTTGTGTACATCGTTTAACACGCAAAATAATTTTTTGGACTCTCTTTTTCTCTCCCCTACTCAAATTCATTGAATAGGGAGATATTATCCGAGGAGCGTCCATTGTCCCAAACAACGAGTTACAATCCAAACTCTTTCAAATTACGCTTGGCTTGGGCCCTTCATGTTTGCGCATTATTTTTCACTTTAATCGATTATTTACTCTAAAATAATCGATTAGATCTAATTTCACAGCGTTGGTTTTCTCAGGCAAATCAACTTAATCGATTAAAATTATTCATTTAATCGATTAGTTCAAACAGAACAGAATAATCGATTATTCCCTCATTTTTAATCGATTAATTCCACTTTTGGTTTCAAGCCTTTTCGCTTCTCTACACTTTAATCGATTAAAATTCCTAATTTAATCGATTAATTCTCTCTGGTACAGAACATCAGCTTTATTTTCCTCAGCCTATTTAATCCCTCATTCTCCTTCATTTCAAAGACACCACTTGCACTCCAATATTTTCTTTGAGCTATATTCATCCTTTGCTTCATCTTCCTCATCAAAATATTATTTTTGAGAGTTAGAAATATTTTCTTTGAGTGCTAAAGAAGTTGTCATCCATAGAGCTTAAATCTTTCAAACACTAGCTCAATTGTGTGAGCTTTCATTTTTGTGTTGTGAACTCAATCTCTTTTGAGTGTTGTTCTTAAGACTTGTGTGACTCAAGTCTTGTTGTTGTAAGAAAGTGAGGCTTGTGTGATTCAAGTTCTCAAGTTGTACCGGTTTTTCAAGCACCCGTTGAAGCTTGAAGATTAGTAGGACTTTCGAGAGAGTCTCTCGGAGGACTGGACTAGCCACGAGGTTGTGAACCAGTATAAATCTCGGTGTTCTTCTTTCCCTTACTCTCTTTATTTTATTCCTGCGATTCTATTATTTCACACACGCGAAAAACGCACATTCTTGTAAACAACTCTATTCACCCCCCCTCTAGAGTTGCACATTTGTCTAACAAAAGCTAGCATTTTGAATAAAGCACCATGTTCTATTTGTTTATGTGCTAAACAATCTCGTGCAAGTTTTCCTTTGAGTACTAATAAAACAACTCATTTGTTTGAGCTCGTTCATATTGATGTATGGGGTCCTTATCGAACACCAACTATGGATGGTTTTAAATCTTTCCTTACTATTGTGGATGATTACTCTCGTGGTACTTGGGTGTATTTGTTACGGACAAAATCTGAGGTTCTTACTATTTTTCGTCAATTCTGCGCTATGATCACTCGTGAGTTTGATGCCAAACTAAAAGCCGTACGCAGTGACAATGGAACAGAGTTTGAATGTTGCTCGGGCTCTTCGGTTTCAGGGTTTCTTGCCTCTTGAATTTTGGGGAGAATGCATCCTTACCGCGGCGTATCTCATCAATCGCACACCGTCACTCTTATTACATGGGAAGACTCCATATGAACTTATTTTTGGAAGTAAACCAGCCGTCTCTCACATACGGGTGCTTGGTTGTTTATGTTACGTTCATAATCAAGATCGTAATGGTGATAAGTTCGAATCACGAAGCATACCCGCTGTGTTCATTGGCTATCCTTTTGGAAAGAAAGGGTGGCGCGTCTATTGTAAAGACACGGGAAAATTTCTCATTTCTCGTGACGTAATTTTTTGCGAAGATGTTTTTCCTTTTCAGGATATTTCTCTAACTCAAGACACTATAACTTCTCCCGTTGCTCTCGAATTCTCATATGTGGATGATGAAGACAGTGCCAGCCCAACCCACCATCCCATTGCACCGGCCCAACATCCCACTGTGCAAGTGGATCTGGTGGACACCACTGCTGGCAGTGCATCAGGAAACCGCACGGCAGACACACAGCAGTCCTCGGCAGTGGATCCGCAACCAACAGAGACTGCCTCTAGTTCCACATCGGCACCATCAGCAGCATCTTCACTTCAACCCGTGGATACCGAGTTGGGTCATGGTCATCGTTCTAGAACTCCCAGTGTACGGCTCCAAGACTATGTCACCTACAAAGTGACTAAGGAAAATGAGTCATGTCGGTATCCGTTGACGAAGTTCATAAATTATGCTCGTTTTTCAGCTTATCACCAGAGCTATTTGGAAAAGATTGATTCTGCTTTGGAGCCTCAATCTTATCGAGAGGCGGTACATGTTAGACAAATGTGCAACTCTAGAGGGGGGGTGAATAGAGTTGTTCTCAAGAATGTGCGTTTTTTTTTGCGTGTGTGAAATAATAAAGTCGCAGGAATAAATAAAAAGAGTAAGGGAAAGAAGAACACCGAGATTTATACTGGTTCACAACCTCGTGGCTAGTCCAGTCCTCCGAGAGACTCTCTCGAAAGTCCTACTAATCTTCAAGCTTCAACGGGTGCTTGAAAAACCGGTACAACTTGAGAACGTGAATCACACAAGCCTCACTTTCTTACAACAACAAGACTTGAGTCACACAAGTCTTAAGAACAACCCTCAAATGAGATTGAGTTTACAACACAAGAATGAAAGCTCACACAATTGAGCAAAGTAGTGTTTGAAAGATTTAAGCTCTATGGATGACAACTTCTATAGCACTCAAAGAAAAATATTTCTAACTCTCAAAAATAATATTTTGATGAGGAAGATGAAGCAAAGGATGGATATAGCTCAAAGAAATATATTGGAGTGCAAGAGGTGTGTATTGAAATGAAGAAGAATGAGGGATTAAATAGGCTGAGGAAAATAAAGCCGTTGAGGAAGGCTGATGATATGCACCAGACAGAATTAATCGATTAATTTTGACAAAGTAATCGATTAGATGGCGCTGTCTCAACTAATCGATTAAATGAAGAAGATCAATCGATTAATTTAAGAAAAAGGCTTCAGCGAGAAATGCAATCTTAATCGATTAATTTTGAAGGAAAAATCGATTAGTCTGCGCTGTGAGAATTAATCGATTAAAAGAGTAAGAAAAATAGATTAATAATGAAGGCTTGAGAAATCCAGCGCTGTGAAATTGGATCTAATTGATTATTTTAGAATAATTAATCGATTAAAGTAAAAATAATGCGCAAACATAAAGGGCCCAAGCCAAGCGCGATTGGAAGCCCTTTGGCTTCTAACTCGTTGTTTGAGACAACAAGAATAATGAAACGCTCCTCAAAGAAATAATATCCCTTATTCAATGAATTTGAATAGGGGAGAAAAGGTGAGTCCAAAAATTATTTTGTGTGTCAAACGATGTATACGAAAAATATTTAAAGTATATTTTTCTTACCAAAAAAAAATGTGTAATCTTTAAAAAGAATTTTTTTAAGAAATTTTGACACACTTATTTTGAAACTGACTCAGTAAAAAAATATTTTATACAGAGGAAAAGTAATTTTTCAACTGACTCAAAAATAATAATTTTTATCCCTCAGAAAATAATTTGATTGTGCAGAAGATAATGTCATCCTTACAAAAATTTCTAGACTCAATAAAAATAAAAAGTCTTCGGAGTCTTCGCTTCACTTCAAAGAACTGCGTAGGGGTGAGCATGAATTTTATCGTCGAAACTTCTTGATGCCCTTCTTTGCTTTTCTCGATCCGAAAAAATTTTTTCGAATATCGATTTAATCATCCTGTTTGTCATTCATCAAAACAAAAAATAATCCAAAAAATAATAAAGGGGTTTGAACTCATGTCCAACAATTTCCCCCTTTTTGATAATGACAAACATAGTTGAGAAAAAGCAAAGAAAAGAATACTTCCCTTAAATGATTCCCCCTGCAAGGTTAGAGAAGTGCAGCAAAAAATAATCGGAGTAATAAGCGGAAAAACAATTTTGAAAAACAAGTTTTCTCAACGATCCTTCCTTCCCCCTTTTGGCATTTTCAACCGACAACCTTCCCCCTTAATTTATGCCGGGATTTGAAGGAGAAAAAAAAAATTGTAAGTGTTTTCAAAAAAACTTCTAACATGAATTGGGACAAAGGGACAAAATGTTCTAAAAGAGAACCATATTAGCAACAACATCATTTACCAAAAGAGTTATAACAACAATAGCAAAATACAATGTATCATAAAAAGTTAAGATAGAGGAGAAAATAATCAAAGAGAGTTCGCCGGACGAGCTCCTCCGCTGAAGCAGTGACGCGGGCCACGGTAGGAGCGAGATTGCTCAAGACGAGTCATCCTCTCGTTGAGCTGGCGAACGTCATCTCGGATGCACGTGAGAGTATCGAAGATCTTCTTCACCCAAGATGGTTCCGGTGCTTCTTCTCTCGGACGAGTCCTCCGTTGACGAGTGACGCGCTCCGTGGCTCTGCTACCTCCGGCTTGAGATGACTCAGCTTGATTCTCGTTTTGGCTTTCTTCTTCTTCTTCGGCGATGATCAAGTCCAGATTTGGTGCAGCATCGCCCTCCTCTCGATACACGATCCGGGAAAACTTGGCTTCAGTGATGAAACACGTCTTCTAGACCGGTACCTAAGTGTCCCGAGTAAAGTCTATTTTGCAATGAGCAAGGATATGCATAATGGGGATGGCAAAACGGAGATAGGAAAAGCGAGTGCCATCGCTAAGTGCAACGATAAAGAAGTGAACCCAATCAAATTTGACATCGTTCAACAGGACGTGAAACAAACAAATATCGTCCTTGTTGACGACGCCATGGTTCGAATCACGGGGCAACAAAACATATGAGAAAATGTATTGTTGGACGCGTTGAATTAAAGTGAGATTAATGACACTCAGGTTGCTAGAGTTTCTAAACTTGAGATCACGATGATCTAACCCGTGTTGTCGCCATATTGCCTCATCTTGGAATGTTTCATCCAAGTTTTCGGTAATTTCACCGCGACGAAGGCCGAACAAAGAAGTCAAACCGGCACCGTCAATGAAAACGGTTTTGCCGTCAACATAGGAAATGCGAGATGGCGAACCTCCCTTAGTGGTACGAAGATTTGCATAAAATTGACGTATAAGATTTGGACAGAAAAATTCATACGTCAAATGAATGAAACGAAGCAATCCTTGCTGAAGGAACATAGACTTACTCGGGGCATAGGTCGCCGATTTGAAGAGGTCCTTGTTCACGATCTTTGGAGAGACGATCTCCTTCGTGAGGAAGATGTTGTGGAACCTCTCAACTGAAGCCCCAGTGTTGAAGGCAAGACCCGTTTGAATGTGAATGTATTTGCTCCCTTCACGACGCCATGGCCTCTCATTCTCCTCTGCCGCCGTTTCTTGACCCGAGGAAGCGTTCTTACACCTTGGCATTCTTCCTTTTTGAAATTGATGAAATTTGGCAAAAAATGGAAGAAATTTGAGAATTTTATGATGAAGATTGAGAAAAAAATTGAGAGGGGAAGAGGCTAGGGTTTCTGTGATTCGAAAAGAGGGAATGGCGAAGAAGACGAAGACTAGGTGTGATATAAGGCAAAAATCGACTATTAATCGATTAATAACAAGTTTTTAATCGATTAGGGAACACAGCCGAGGCTAATCGATTAAGTTAAGTTTATTAATCGATTAGAAGTAAGCAGAACCAGACGTCTCTTTTCAAGATATTAATCGATTAAACAGAGAAGGTTAATCGATTAACATGGACAGATGAGTCTAATCGATTAATTGAACAAAATTAATCGATTAAAAGGTGAATTAGCGCTAAAGACGTTTTTGCATATTAATCGATTAAAAAGAAACGAGTAATCGATTAAGAAAGACAGAGGCGACTAATCGATTTCTCTTTGAGGAAAAATCGATTTTGTAAAAAAAATCAAGTCCAATTCGGTTGAATACCAAGGGAAGAGATATCTACAATAAAAGCCCTGCAAAAAGAATTTATCGCGCCTCCGACGCTCAAATTAGTATAGTAAAAAAAAATGAATTAGTTCATAGAGATATCCAAAATGCCAAGTTCGTTCCGAATGTGGAAGAAACTCTCCCTACTAAGGGGTTTCGTGAAAATGTCGGCCAATTGATGTTTCGTTTCAACAAACTCAATTGTGACATCTCCCTTTTGGACGTGATCTCGTATGAAGTGATGCCTAATTTCTATGTGTTTAGTCCTGGAGTGAAGAACGGGGTTCTTCGATAGACTAATGGCGCTCATATTGTCACACCTAATTGGGATGTGATCAAGTATAAGGCCGAAATCCACTAGTTGTTGTTTTAGCCAAAGAATTTGGGCACAACAGCTTCC